TTCAGTTAGGTTTACAATCGCTTAAAAAATTTGTACATCTGATAAAATCAATGCCTAATCATAATGTGTGATGTCACCTCACCCAAGGTCATATATCTGAGAACTTTTAATAATTTAAACTTCCTGATAATTCAAACGAAACTCAGAGATTCCTTCGAGTTTGAATTAATGAGGTTGACGGTAGCTTGTACGAAATTTTGGATAGTATGAACATGTAAGACGCATTTTTGTTATAATGAAGCCTGACTTAATGAATGATCGGATAAAGAAGTGAATGAGGATGGCTCTGTCATAGATACACTGCTATTATATATAACGAATTTTCGAATATCACGAGTACTTCCGTACCAGGTGTGACTGCTTTTAGTGAAGCTTGAGTGTAACGAATGATTTATGACCGAGCATGGGCCCCCCTCCAACTCTTGTCAAAAGATCCTTCACCGTAGGGAGGGGCAACTTGCTCGCGATTTTACGTTAATAGTGGTTCAAGCAGATACCAGCTATTATTATTGTCTTTCACAGGTGAACGGCAAGTGCACCGCAGTACTGTGCGCAAAGCGCTCATTTCTTCATAAGTTCTAATCGCGACTATTAGTTGAGACGTGTGCCACCTCGTCTCTCCCTCCATTTCATGCGCCCATGTATCACAGGTGTGAGAGCGGAGTGCTTATGCGACCTGGTTGGCTGAAGTGAAGTCTGACGCACTTATTTACGAACAGTGCAGACGTAGGGACATGAAAGATTAAGTTCACTCAGACATCACTACAACCTTCACAACTTCCACAAAAATACTTTTTTATATTAGAAAATTTGCTCTAAAAGTATATTTGTAACACTACTTATGACAAAGCTATTCTTTACTTGATAATTCGTTATATCAGTGTTTGTTACATTGATGTTTGAGCTATAGACGACAAGCCACTGTCACGTACGAGACAAGGTCACAATGGACAGGCTAAACTTGCCTCTTGGAGACGTGACGATCACTAATGCGGCAAGCTCAGTTGCATTGTTTTCAAAAGAAGGGATACAGACACCGACCAAAATGATTTTTTAGAATGAAAATGCATCAACTGGATGAACAAGGACTCCAGGTAAAAGCGTGTAGCGTAATTCTTCTGCTTAGCACTCTCATGGACATTTTTCTTGTCGAGTGCTTTGCCATATGAGTGCACATTTTTCCATTTACACTCAAATCTCATAATAACAGTCACACCTGCCACGAAGTCTTTTGGCAGATAAGTAAGGTACCCACTACACATCCGTAAAGTATTGTGTGCACTTTGTCAATGACAAAGACTTATGAATGAGTATATTGTAGTGAGTAGGCCTGTCGCCTCATCCCTTCTATTAGATGTTTCGTTTCGGCTAAACGAGCTTTCATCATACTTTCAACTTCTTACATTGCTTCTGTGACTTCGATTTGTTTTTTTACTGATCGTACTCCAACTCTTTCGGACAGGACGACGGGAGCAAGGGCTTTGAGGACGCGTACGAACAGTGCCTGCGCTGCAGCAATGCCTTCCTGGACAGAGTGGTCAGCTGAGTGGCGCGGGTTCCTGCTTAAGTTGCTTGGGGGCGCTGGCAGCGGTGGCCTCCTCCAGGCGTCGTCGCTTCTTCTCTAGATAACTGTGCTCGTTGTCGAACCACTGCTTGTAGAGCTGAGACAGGCTGCCGTTATTTCCGTTGGCGACGACAGGCTTGCCTGCACGAGCCCAAACATTTTGTTAGCCGAATTCCGTAAATAAAATAATCTTTTTGACAACGCGCAGTGCTTCACTTCTTGGCATTTTCAGCTGCTGCATCAACTGCTTCAATCAAAAGCAAGGCTGCTTGCTGCCACAGCAGTGATTGAAAAAAATCAGCGTAAAAGACCGGTGGCCGAGACTGCAAAACTGCGACACACAGCGCTGTTGTTCATGAGCACGCCCTTAATTGCCAAGCGCATTGCATTTTCCGAAGCAGGGGTGACCAGTGGACCGACAGAAATCAGCCAATTCAGATATGGGCCATCTGAGAACCCATATCTTAAAAGAAACTCTTGTTCATTGCTTATCTGCGGACGATAATGATAGCCTGTATGTATGGCTCACACACACTCTGGTGGAATTAGACAGAAGGAATCACATATTAATTGTATATCTGATGAATTATGATAGGGTTAGAAGAAATTAATTTTACTATTTTGTAATTATACACTTTTTTTGCTGTAATTGTGAGCAACTGTATTCTCATTGCAATTGGCCTGAAAAAGATGTCTGTAGAAGTGCTTTGTGCCAGCCACCCCTGCTTTGGTAAATGGAATGTAGTTGGCACTCTCGATATCGGCCCTTGTCCGAGAAAAACAGAGCTGCGTGTCGCGTGTCTTGCTGCTCCGGCCAGCGGTCACTTCTGCCCATTTTTTCCATTTGGAACTGGAGATGCCTGCTAAGTCCTCCTGATTTGCCTATAGGCCCCTGAATTCAAGGCAATCCTCCTTGTTGCAGGGGTATGTCCATTAACTTTCTGAAATATAACCCTAACTTCACCATCACAATAAAACAAAGGAAAGCGGTTCTAAAATAATGTTGCTCAGGTCTACCTAAATTTCCTCAAAATATAAAGCAGTGCCAACTGAATGCCCTTGTCTCTGCCTCTTCTTCTAGCTGCAGCAGCAGCACCTCTATCGTGTCAACCAAGAGACTTCTTTTTTTTTTTGCCGCTGCAACATAAAGAACAGGATGGGCGCCGAAGTGTTATGGTGTCTTCTTTCAATTTGCCCCAACTCGATATAACGAACCTAGATGCACTCAGACCTGAATATAACGAACCTGAATATAACAAAGAAATTAAAAAACAGTGTTACTATAGATATGGTGTTGGGAATATACCTTTATAAAGAACTTTCGCACATAGCGAACTAAATTTCGTGTAAAATGCAACTTTGTTACAATGGGGTTTGAAAATAGCTCATATCCGAATTCTGCTACAGTCTTTTGTCGTTTTCGGGGCTTTCGGTAATCCCCATTGTTGGCTATGATGTCAGCATTGTCATCTGCTCCCGTCGTTCACAAAAAGAACCAATTAGTCCGTTCGCTTGCTGGTCGCTTGCTGGTCTTTCTCTTTGCACACTGAGCAGAAGCACTCGGCTACGAGGAGAGACGAGCTGATGAACAAAGCGTAACAAAGGAAAAAGCAAAGCGAGCAGGAGCGGCTTTTGAATTATCAAAAATGTTGCTTCACAATTAAGGCATCTTTTTGAAAAATCCTTTCGGCTGTATGTTTATCGAACAGTTGTGTGCAACTGCAACATTGCAACTCATTTCGACCTCTGGGTGATTTTGGGGCCCTTTAACATCTCTGCACTGGCTACCAAAAGTTAGCTGAACATATGTAGCAGCAGATAAGCACATGAATAAAATAAAAGGAGCACACTTGCCTTGAAAGATCTGCCAGAGCGTTAAGCTGACGTCCTTGAGAAGCGGTGCCCATGGAAGCTCGCTTGCAGACGAGAGTTCGGCAGGAACTTCCAGTCGCCGCCACTGCCCCTGCATGAAGAGCGATATGTAAGAAGCAACGAAGTGAATGAAAGGAATTGAGCGAGACAAAAACCTTCCGGCGCTACAATGTGTGTTCCTTCTCTGCACTAAGCTACAGTACTTTCTCATCTGGCCAAAGTCAGGCTCGAACTGCAGACTCACATTTGGGTCAGTGGAATGTGCAAAAAGCTGCACCGATGGAGGACTGGTGAGGGTCACCCAAAGTTGGCTGTCGTCGTCAAACGCGACATCGTCGGGGGTGCATGGAACGACGAGGCTCTGCGGCCGACTCCAGCCGGCTTCGAGGCCCTGCCAACTCAGCAAAAGAACTTCTGCAAGCCTGCGCACCAAATGCAGTACAGCACAACTCGTGAACAACATTTGCATAAGAACCAAGAAAAACACCTCAGCACTCCCGTAATTAAGCCATTGTAGAAATAACACGTGCACATAAATTTGTGAAAGTTGACTGACTTAGAGGCCGCCGCAGTGGTATAGTGGCTAAGGTACTCGACTGCTGCCCCGCAGGTCGCGGGATCGAGTCCCAGCTGCGGCGGCTGCATCATTGATGGAGGCGAAAATGCTGTCAGCCCGTGTGCTCAGATTTGGGTGCACGTTGAAGAACCGTAGGTGGTGGAAATTTCTGGGGCCCTCCACTACGGCGTCTCTCATAATCGTATGGTGGTTTTGGGACGTTAGACCCGACATATTATCTATCGACTGACTTAGAGAATGAAATACTGAGGGAAGGGGGTGAGTCTGGAACAGCAAGCACTTGGCAAGGCTTTCAGTTTATGTAAAGTTCCTGCTTCGATCTCCATTGTTGCCAGCTTGCACTCAAGTATTTGCCACACCTAAATGAAAACATCTCAAATGTTTAAAGTCTAATGTTTGGACAAAAGCTTACTATATTTTGAAGAAAGAACATGGCTGATGAAAACATACAAATGGCAACTAAAAACACACACAAAAGTTTGCTGACGTGTATAGGTTCTTCACCCATCTCAAATTCATATAAACATTGATGCAAATCCCTTGTGCATTTGCTGCTAACTGTACTGGTTTGCACCAATCACGGCAGCATGTTATATATGAGCCTCTGACACGAAGCCAATAACGACACAGACACGTCACATACTCGTCAATGAGGCAGGCCATAGTTGTCCCCGATGGCTGAAGAGCTAACCGCTTCACGGCAGGTTTCCGAGATTCAACATTGTCTTTGGCGTCTCCCGCTCGTTTCTCGATGCTTACTTCGTACCGGTGTAACTGTCGACCGGTTTCTGGGCACCAAGTGCGGATTGTTCCGTCCTGGAAGATGAGATGGAAGTGTCACTTTGCAAATCACATTTCTGACAAGCATCATTGTGCACATCTGTCCACAGAAATATTACGATGGTGCAACTCATAAGAATTTACGACCTACCCTTATGTAAAAACTGAGAGCAAGCAAAGATTTTTATGTATTCGACCTCTATTTTTCTTTCTATCGCATTGCACAATGCTTCCCCCTACCTTTTTTCTTTCTCCATGCCGGGAACGAGACCTGTATCCACGCGCTTAGCAGAGCAACACTTCAGTTGCTACAGGCGACAACGACTGCCCTGCAGTCAAGTGGTCAAGACGTTGACCAAGGCAGCAGTGGGTGTGTCCCAGTTGAAACTCTTTATTTGTCCGAACTTGTAACCGAGAAACAGAAAGTCGAACTAACATACAAGCAAGCAATGCAGGTTGTGCAATGCTAACAGTGAACAGAACATCAGGCGTTGATAATCTGATCTGCGGCGACGCGTCGGCACTTATACATGCGACATTGAGCATTTGAGCTATATGGCTGGTGATCACGTGTGTTCCAGAACAGACTTTGCTGTTTGCGTCTGCACGCTCAAGTCTAACAGTTGATTCTAAAATAATCTTGAATGTTCCCAGACATTCTGGCGCAGTTTGGGCAAGGCAGTATACATGTAATGGGCCGGTAACATAAAACAGAAAGAGGAAAGCACATGTGCAAATATCCAGGTAATAATATAATGAAATCTGGCTTTGTTAAATGACAAGTGACCTTGACAAAAGATGAGGCTTGCACGCCAAAAATGGCTGATCGCTGATGATCGCACAATCACAAAAGCATCAATTACAGGAAAATGGCGCATACAAATATGTGTGTGCTGCTGGTGTGCCTTCAAGGGCTACGTGTGCTGACACCAAGTTTCTCACGTACGATGCCGCCCCTGCGATCTGTGAGCCCCAACAAGCTTCGCTTGGAAAATTTAGAAAGAGTCAAGACGCAAAATTTTTGGCTATACTGCCAACAGTGCAAACTCGTTTTTTCTTTGCACTTCATTTCTGTGCAATCTGTTCCAATGGCTTGTTGCTACAACTACACTATTCACGATGGTTACAGTTTGCTGTAGTCACGCACTGGGTGCCCCAGCTTAATCTAACCAGAGTATAAAAATATGCCGACACATTCAATTACAAAACGACCAAATGCAAATTACTGACTGTTGCCTGCATTAAGTTGGGCTATTCAGTTAAGTGCTAATTTAGGTAACTTTAATTAACTTTTGAAGCAACAAAGCTGGGCAAAAAATTTAAATTAGAAGGTTGTAGATTAAGTTGCTGAACATCGGATCAGACAGTTTCCAAATTTCTATACATTAAGCATTACTGTTTTTCTGCTTACTACATATGTCTGCGAAATAAATAAAAAAAACGACGTGACATGCCCGCTTGCGCACTTGTGCCCGCCACAATTATAGTGCTCCGAACATTCCACATACAAAACGATATGCATTTCTCGGGCCAATGCATGACAGCGGTGGTTATCGCTTCTGTTGCTGCTAGCAAAATGCGTTTGTTGCACAGCCGTCGCAGTCCTGCGGAAAAAGCACAATTCGTCAATTGCTATGGCCAATTGATTGCGGAATGTTAGGAAGCACTAGAATCGTCGTCGCATGCACTGGTGTTCTAACACTTTCTCATAGGAATTTTCGGCCCAGCTTCGTAGCTTCAAAAGTTAGTTAGGTGGCCCGATTAAAGAATTATTCAGAAAACAAAAAAATAGCTTGACGGACTCCAGCCAACAGCCAGCAGCATACATTTGATCACATCGTCGTTCAACGCACTGGGCATATTTTTAAACTTTGGCTAAAGATACCTTGGGCAGCCTGTTACACCATGGTGGCTGATGAATGGGTAGAACAGAGGAGAATTATGGCGTTTGTGATTAAAGCAGCATAATTTCTGCACTGGCTTTTGTCCCACATTTTCAGCTAAAGAGGCATCAACAAGAACAAGATATCGATACCTAGACACACAACAGACTGGCAGCTGTTATTTTTATCTCAGCATGAGCCAACAGGAAAGAGAATGAGGTGAGCCAGGCTGGCACAAGCACAGTCAGCCACTGACTGAAGTGGGTCCTACTCCATCTGCGATTGTGGCATCAAATAACATAACGATATATTAAAAAAGAGCACTCACTCCAGAGCCGGAAACCAAGAGCTCCGGTGGGCCAGGCAACAGCGTGAGACAGGTGACAAACCTAAGGCATAAACATTTAACACTTGTTTTCGTTAAAAACTGCACAGCATTAAGCAAATGTGTGCTGCTGAAGGCAACGATTCTAGAACATTGAAGGTAATATGGTATACCAAAGGTATCAGCATTCCGAATGGGCGATTAGCGATGAATGATACAAATAATGATAAACAGTTAGCTGAAATGGCATAACGACAGCCTTGGAAAAGCGTCTGTCCCGGGTTCAAATTCTGGACCGGACCAATTTGTCAACTGCGAATCTTTCTTCCTAAGCAACAAACAATATAATTCTCTTTGATAGCTTCATGCGATAGGTAGGTGGATGTAACAATCTTCTCCTGTTGTGTAAAGGACTGTTTTTCCCAGCAAACCAGAGGTGCCAATTATCTTAATGAACTTGAAGCCTCCAAGAAGCAATAGACAGCACCTGGGAAGCAGTACAGTACAGTAAGCTCTCGTTAAATGGAACCTGAAGTGATCAGGAAAATATGTTTCCTTCAACAGGAGCTTGGTTTACTGAGAGAGGAACAGGGTGGCAAAATTAAAGCACGAAACCAACGATATCAGAGGCAGTTCTTTCATTTAACAAGGTACCCTGCAAAACTTCTTGAGCACGGTCAGAAAACGCTGCCAATCGGTAGTCGAGGCTGCTGAGAACACATCAGCCAGAGATTATAGCGTAGCACATGGCATGGAATGAACAAGTAACTCAAAACAACTCAATATCACTCCCTCTTCTCTCAACAAGTGATGTCATAAACCCAAGTGACGATGCCACATACTTGGTAGCCATTGGCTGATTTGAACATTGTGAGCTGCATAGTTAACGCTATCGCCACAAGATGCCGCCACATGTCCGCGCATGCACTCGCAATTTGCGGCAGTTGATGTTACATTGCGCACACTGCGGACAGAAACCATTCAGGCCGGATCCACAACCGAGGCAGAAGAAACAGCGATTGCTATTGGAACTACTATTGAGGGCACGAAATTTATTATATCGGATTCGATGTCGGCTATCAAGTCATATGCTGCAGGGTGTGGAAATAGAACGGCACTGCAAAAATTAGCACGACCTCAACAAGAAATTAAGCTCATTTAGGTTCCGGGCCACTGTGGGAACCCGAGAAATGAGGGCGCTCACCAGACAGCCTGAGGGAACATAAACCGAGCAGTGGTGCGGTCCCAGGAACCAAATCCGAATGACCTGGCGCTCAGGTACGGAGACTGGCTCAGCCGGCACAGAGAACAAAGAAGGCTTTATCCACCTCCAGATGCATTAACCCGGGCCCATGCGACTTCACTGTGAAGGGCTCAAACTCATTGTATACTCAGCTCGAGAAGGCTGGCCGCAATAGTGAAAGATGAAGAGCTACACAAGTGTAATAACTGTGGCCTAGCATAGGGAGGACAAGACCACGTATTATGGTGTTGCCCCAACAACCCTCCACCCGAGGAGCTCCTGCAGCCATCTCCCTTACCGGAAGCCTGGGAGAGGTCCTTAAGGAGCCCGAATTTGCATATACAGTCCAAGCTAGCGGACTAGTCTGCTAGTGTTGCGGCCCAAGGGGCCGCAACACTAGCAGCTCTAGCCTCCGTCAAACATGGTTTCCCCCATTTCCCCTCCCCTTTCTGAATAATAAAGTTTATTCCTCCTCCTCCAATTACAATTAAAGAAAGAGGCCAAGCCCATGAAGTGTGCAGATTGGGTGACACATCTTGCCCAGCTTTCAGTGTACTGAATGGTACGAAAGGAAAAAGAAGGCACTCAAAGCATGCGGCGAATTCCTCCAACTGCCCATGAAGCGTATTTACTAGATTCTACCGCGCCCTCGATTGTAACGCGCACCCGGTTTTCACGACGGAAAAAAAAAGTAAGACATCGATTGCAACGCGCACCCATTTTTCTTGTTGGCCCGCACGATCACACCACTCGGGAAAACGACTCCTTTTGCGAGCGTCTTCCGTTTAAATATGAGGTACGGGGGAAGCTTGGGCCTACCTGACGTGCAAAGGAGCATTGCCATCACTCTAGTTTTACCGTGGCCCGATGTCAGCACGGAAACTTGCTTCGCCCCCTTCTTCTCGACGGTTGTGGTGCCAGGCATGTCGAAGTAAAGAGGCGTCTGATCGGCATTCCAGATTTGCCCAAGCAGGTAGCCGTTGTTGTGCCGCAAGTTTAGGACGGACCTCTGAAAACTGTGAAGCTTTTCTTCGTACTCCTCTGGCAACTTTTGGCATATGCCCGTTCGCCTTCAGAGGGAAAAGCCTTTCCTCTTCATAAAGTGAGTTCTCATAATCAGTTTGACCATGATTTACATGCCACATAGAATTTAAGCATGCAGTAATGGTGCAATAGCAGTACATTGATGCAAATACGTATGTGCTGCTGAATATTCCGCATTGCTAGTGTAAGTGCTTTCCTGCTCCCTTTTTCACAGAAGTATCTGTAAGAATTGTGCATCCAACACAAGTTTTCAATGGAATTACTCGGTAGTTCTGCAATTGACACATCAGTAAACGAGATCTGCAAGGTTTCATTGAAGCATATCTGGCCGAACTGTGTCCGCATGCTGCACTTACTGTGTATGGCCAAGGCAGAATGTGCGAATGTTGTAACAGTTTGGGTAGCATGACACTTGAATCTTCTCATCACGGTCAGAGACTGCGAGGAAGTTATCTTGCTCGCCTATGACCTGCAGAAAAATGGCAGCATTCAAGATGAATTAGAGAGAGCACAAAATGGAGTTCTAAGCTGCGGCTCAACGGTAGCTTTGGGCTTCTAGATTACCGAGACTACAGGTTGAGAAGATGCATCACATCTATGTCTCTTTTGGCAACGTTCCACTATGACTTCTATTCTACACTTCTTTCAGAAGTGGAAATTTTCGTTCACTGATGATCCTTTGTTTTTTAAACTGGAAACTGTCACTTGCTCCTAAGAGCAGTACGACGTCACTAATTATGTCATGCTTCATATGTCATGCTTCAGCAATCGCAAAAATATTCCTGCAAATGAGATATAGCATCTCATGCACATATGAGATGAGGAGAGAGAAATGAAAAGACATAAATACGAAATAGACCCCATACATAATTCATATATTGATTTCGCTTTATAAATGAAATAATTTGTGCTCAATGTGATTCCAAAGCCATTTTTTTAGATGTTCTTAAAATTAAAAAAATCCCCTTTTCACATACACTTAACTCGAAGCTTGATTGATGGGACTGAAAAATACAACTCTATAAATGTGGTAAATGTTACGTAACTGTCAAGCACTGAAAACCACATTCATTGAACAGGTTTCCAACAGTTAAAGCGTTACAGGCTTACTGTTCAACTTTTCATGAGGTTTTGTGTGCGAGTAGTTTGTTGTCTCATCGGTAACGCTGCTGCAAGCAATCTTGGTCTCATGCTTTTCTCGATCACACTTTCGCCTTTTGTTCCCAAAATCAAACTGCATCACCCAGGTTCTATACAGTGATTCAAGAAAGCATCACAGCATATAAAAAACATGCCATGTTCTGGCACATCTTTATATGTTAGGTCTGTAAATTTATAGTCACTTATAAAATAAAAAAATGTAAACTTTGCCCACATAACTGCAATGTGCCTGCCATTCACCTGTGAAAGAAAATCTTACTAGACGGTTGCTGCTCCAACTGTAAGTACTTTTTCTCGACTAACGTACAAAAGATGCATATTTTTAGATAAAGGTTCATTATTACTACCGGAAACATCTCGTTTGGCTGACCAACAATGTCAGATTTTATAATGAAATTGAACAGTCAGCTTTCCGACCTTAGAAGATGCGAGTCAAAAAACACATTTTTTCAAAAATCATAATTTTAGTTTTTATTTGCTTTGATAAATATACGTTTTCTACTTTCACAAGAAAAAAAACTAAAAATTGTAATTGAACTCAAAGTAGATTAAAATTACTTTCAAAGAGCTCAAGGTGACTATTAAAGACTAGAAGGAGCTAATTTTCTAAAGTCCCCTGGAAATTGTCACCTTGCTGCTTACCATTGCATTTTGCATAAGGAGTTGACTAAAGCCACATGTTCAAAATAACCATGATTGCCAAGCCACCATGATTGAAAAAATCATATTAAAAACGTATTTTTTCTGCATAGATGACCTTTCACTTATACCTTTAAAATGTGTCTTTCTCAAGATCCACTATTGATCAACTTCTCGAGTTTAGACATCATGTTTTTGGTATTTCCAATTGAAACGAAATTTTGCCCACGTATTAAGGGTGCAAGTATCTCTTTTAAAATTTGATATTGCTTGTATAATTATGGCAAACTTAAAATGAACAATTAATATGGGCAGGGGATTCCAAGCATTCTCACATTACAATTTTTCTTGTCTATTAAAATGTATTATATGCACTTTCTTAATATTTATTTGCATTCTACAGTTAATGTAGAGTAATATCAGCAATTAATGGCTGCAAACTAAAATTTTTATCGGCAAAAAAGTTTGTTCAAAACCAACTGTTCGTTACATATTGTCATGGCACAAAAGTAAAGCTGCATAACTCACTATAAAACTAATCACATACTTGAAATCAGCCTAAAAGCCTACATATCTACAGCAAAAATTACCTAGCCCTAGCCTACAGAACAACACAACTTTTCTTCCGAATCGCATCTCCCCTTAAGCCAGTAGCACAAACGTGTGCCTGCGCGGTAAAGTCAGCTATTTGAAACACTCGAGAGGTGCTTGACATCACCAAAATGAGTAAGTTCAATAGCATGGAGCAATTATGCAAATTCTACGTGGGAGAGATGTCAATAAATATAGGTGGAGCTGACAATTTTTTTTCTTGCGTTGTAAGCAACTTAACAGAACTATCTCACAAAAAACAAATCGCGAGCTAGATGACAAATGTTGCATGCCGAGGTTATTCCTGCAGCAGCCTACCATGTCGAGCACCATGGAGAGACGGCCGACGATGAGCTTGCCCCCAGTGTCTTCCGTGTCATCCAAGTTGAAGGAGTAGACATCACCAGAGCGGTCAGCTACGAGAACAGTGTCCTTGGTGGAACACATTCGGACCTGAACGGATTTGCGTGCCACGTGCCTGTACGACCAAAGGTAAAGTACAAAAATGCGAATTTCCAGTACACGTGTAGAAAACATAAAGCTGTTCTGCCTGGATGGCTAAATTTTTTACAACTCTACTGGCAGTCTAGCACTCCTTTGGCAGAAGAAAGATGATTAGTTATGAATGAAAAAGCTGCCACTTCGAAATTTTCATTCACTTATAAAACCAATAATTCCATCACAGCATCAATAATATCGCACTTCATTCTTATTTAGATCACTACATTTACATGGAGATCAATACTGAAAATGATGGAAGGGGGGTAACAACAACATGCACAGAAGTACACAAAGCATGCACATATACCATGTAAGCAATGAGAACTAGCATCAAGACTTAGCACCATAAAAACTGGTAACCCTTAGTGTTTGGAGTGATTTTTTGGATAAAATACAATCTTTTATCTGTTAGAGAATATTTAACTGTAAGCTTAATAATCTTGACACAGGGTCACTGATAATGTTAAGATAGTATTTATATAATTTTTCTAGTGGCTAATGAGCACACACCTGGTAGTGTAAAAACAAATAATCTACAAGCTCAAACAAACTACGCCTTCCATATTTTTTTCTGCATGGCTCACGTACAAAGGAGACACTGTACAGTCGTATTAAATGCACCGGTAAGTGAGAGTTCACTGTGAAAAAAGCAATTACAACCTATTTTTAAAAAGCTAGTTTCACTTTCTATTGTAGCCTTACGTCACAACATGACATAAGCTTCTTGTCATGTGCTCGTGCAAGGCATTGCGATGCTTACACAACTGCATTGCTAAATGGCTCTGCTGATGACTTGCAAGCAGCCATATTACATTTTGACACCCGACATCATCACCAATGCTGGAGGATGAAGCACAAGAATCAACCCTGTAGCCTGACGTCGTAATAGTGACGATGCTGGTAGGTGTGCCGTAGGAAAATGGACATCCATGTCAAAATAAACTACTTATGAGCATTTACTGAGCTTGACGCCTCACCTAAGCCGTCTCTGCATACAGGAAAATTTGTACGGCCACGTAAACTTGACTTTGAAAGTTGTTGCTAGTGTTCCATCAAGCGCTACCTCAGATGTACAAACCTTTGAATAATGGCTTCCCAGTTTCCAGGACCATGCCGCTTCCAGACGATCAGCCTCTTGGAGTTAGTCACTGCCATGAAGTACGTCGAACAAGGTGAAAAATTGGCGCAGGAAAAACTGGGTTCCTCCTGTCTGTCTGTTTTCGCTGACGATTTGTTGTTTTCCTCTTCGTCACTGTGAAGGAAGCAAAATTAATACATGCTGCCAACCTCTTTTCTTTTTGATAGCACGAAAGTCCCGCTACTGAAATTTTCTTTTCTTGTTCTTGTCGCTGGACTGCTTATGTATAAGAAGTAGCGCACACTTGGGGATGGAGTAAGCGAGACCACAAGCACTAACTATCAAAAAATGTTGATTTGATAGCAGTCAAAGCAGACCTATGTGTAGAACTGGGTGAGGTGGGAGCACATGTACCACAGGTACGACTGTATACTATTTAAAATTGGCACAAATAAACGCAAGTTTCACTACGAATAAACTAACAGAAGGTGTCGTAACATCATCCACTCAACTGCACAATCTTTTGTGTTTTGATTACTTCATAGGCTATCTATCCTTTACTCCTGACAATCACATCCACTTCATCAAATTCAGGTTGACATCCACACGTGCTGCAGTGCATACATACAAACGGCAGGCTACTAAATTAAAGTCGGCTAATGCGGACGGCAAGATAAAAATGCAGTTGCCTGCCTGCGCATGCAATTACTGGAGACTGGACTGTTCAGGGCATAAGAGAGCTTGAGTAAACTAGCTGTGTTCAGCAGATCTTGTTGACTTTCATTCACAATTCACCATGCCTCGATAAGTCAACAATGCACAAGTGCGGCCAGAAGAAAAACAATTGCACGACTAGTTACCTGTCCCTGCAATCGCTAGTGTTCTCGGTGGTCGCCTCTGGAATGGCGAGCCGTATTTTGTCATAGCCGCCACTGCAAATGAGGAAAGCGAGTGTCATAACGGTGCACAGACGGCTGACCCAATTAGAAACGAGTAACTCAGTGACTGAGACATCGCTGCCTACAACAGCACCACGTGCCCGCTCTATTTGTCACGAATTATTGCCGTGTGAATTCAGCAGAAGCGAGTGCTACCGGCAGACCAGGCGCAATTACCGCAACTATTTATGTCGACCACACCTTGGGGTTTCCACGTGCCAGTGAATCACGACGTGATTGTGCGGCACCGCGTAGTGCACAACCCCTGAATAACTTCGATCACCCGGGGCTCTGCAAAGTGCGCGAAAGAGTACGGGTGTTCTTTCATTCCTCCCTCGTTTACATCTGGCCGCCGCGACCGGGAGTCTGAAACGCGCCTTCGTGTTTGAAAGTGTCACACCTTCGGCGCGAAAGAAGTAAATGGGGCGACAGAGTGCGCAACCTTGGCTCAGTCATTAATGCGCAATGAAAGACTTCACAGCGCACCGATATTATGGGCCACTTCCGGAAACACGGCAGTCTACAGGCAATGGTGCTCGACTGCTGACCCAAAGGACGCGCGTTCGAATCCCAGTCGCGGTGGAGGAATTTTCGATGGAGGCGAAAATGCACGAGGCTCATGAAGATTTAGAGGCACGTTGAAAAACACCGGGTGGAGTAAATTTTAGAATCCCTCCACTATGGCATCCCTTATAATCATACAGTGGTTCTGGGAAGTTAAACTCTATTGTTTAACACAGCAAGTTCAACTGAACATACGTTGGTCACACCTACGGTACAGATGTTTCACCTGTTGCACGACAACTTTCGCAACAAAGCTCGACAGTTGCACATAGAACGACCGCGAAGTTATTAGTTGAAGTCGTATTGACAATATATCCGCGATCGTGTTTTCATTAAAGCAGTCGTAAACGAGGAGAGCGCACAAAAGCGTCCAATCGGCGCTGTCATGGGCGTGCCAGCACGTACCCGTCTTTCGTTTCGTACATGTAGGCTAGATCAACGCACAACAACGCAATCCTGTTGTTCATGCACCGTATGAGGGCCATTGTCGATTGAGAAGTGGTGTCACATAAAATTGCGGTTAGCTTAAATTAGTAGACGCCGACGCATGAGTTGACGTGAGCAGAAACTACGCGGTTCTGTTTTGCCACGCGCGCGGCCATGTGCTTTTCAGGGTGCGCAGCACTAGAACACGACGTTCGCCAAATTTAGCCAATTAAATTTTTATATCAAGTATTTTATAGTTTTTATTGTATTACAAATAAAAAATAACTGGTAGGTTGAACTTGTATATTTAATTTTAAAATGCGAAGTATGTGCCTTATTTACGTTTAAGCTAACAGTTTACAAGTGTTCAATAATCCAGCAATAGAGCTGTCGCTGGTCAAGCCGCGCCAAGCCATGCAGAAGTAGCAAACATGGCGGCGCCCCGTAAAACGGCATGTTCGCAGACTTACAGCGGCTGCAACTTCTTTCGCCAACGCCTCGTGCTGTCTACCTTGAGCAGCAAGCCGATCGAGATCAAGAACATACGACACAAAGACGAAGAACCCGGGTTGAGGAGTAAGATCTGCTTTTACTGCGTACTTTCGCATGCTGCTCCGTTGAACCAGCTGTCAGTCGGATAGCATTTTGTTAAGTTTCTCAGCTTTAATTTCTCCCTGCGGTTTCCTTGCTATTTCGAAGAAACGCACATATAGAAAAAAGGAAGAGCCTAACTCCTGAGACAGTCTATTGACTGGTGAGCGCGGTTACGTGGTGGTGATCGTGGCGATGTTCTGAAGGCCTGCGCAAGTTGCAAGCTTTTGCGCTTGGTGTATCAATTTGTTTTCGTTCAAGGTTGATCTGAATCGGCACGCGACACGTTTGTGCGGACACAAACGTTGCGATCGCATGAGCGCTTTCTGGTTCCTTGAAAGTGAACACCTAAAGCTCGTGCTTATTTTGGTGTTGGTGTTCTGTTTGCAAGTGCCGCATGTTATCTGGAAGTGTCAAAATATGCAGTGGCTGCATGTGCTGAAAACATATCGTAGAAGGTGTACGTAATGTGTGAACAGCCGTTATAAATAACGGCAGGATATGACACCATCAAGTTGTCGAACTATGTTTGCTTGTTGTAAGAGTTTGTGAGGTCGCGTAATTTATTTTTTATTTAGGTATCCCTAAAAAAAACAAAAGGCAATATACAATGGGGAAAAGAATCAAGGCCGTTAGAACAACAACAAAAACAGCTAAAGCTATGCATCTTGTCATATTGTTCGGGCTTTAGTACAAACGGTGTTGAGAATTAACTGCCGCCATCCATTCAGGAAATTGCCTATTCATGGCTACCCTCTACCGTTAGTACAGTTCCGTTTTGTATTTTTGGATCAATATTGCATCCTGGGCTTCATAATTGTGTCTCTTTTCTTTCTTTCAGAGTTTGAGGTTGACTTGCTCAAGCTGTTAGAGAAGGTCACAAATGGAACTGGTGTTGAAATAAACGAAACAGGTGAGTTCTCGCATCCGTTTGACATAGTTATTTGCTTTGACATCTACTTAGTCAAAGAATGAGTTTAGGAGCAAAATGTGTTCATTCGAAGAAAAAAAAATCATTGAATAGTGGAGTGCTATTGGCTTCTTCTCTAGGTACTTGAACACATGCTACATAATTATAGGCAACAGCTGCATTACATGGGATAATTGAGACCATGTTTGAACAGCTTTTCAAATCACATGTGGTGCACTGAAAAGACCATAAAAACATGGCACCAATTGTGTTCAGTGTCACGTTTTCATGACCTTCTTTGTGTTACATGTTGTTTTTGTGGTCATTCGCTTTGTATTATCACAGGTATTGCTTAGGGCAAGTGTAGGCTGTTGACACTGCGATTGCTTTTCGAAAATTGCAGGCACTTGCGTGCGCTATAGGCCCGGCCTGCTTTATGGCGGCAAGCTGGAACATGACTGCTCGACAGAGCGGTCGGTTGGCTACTACCTGGAAGCCCTGCTGTGCTTGGCTCCTTTCTGCAAGAAGCCGCTGGATGTCACACTAACGGGCGTCACGCACCATCCTCTTGACCCTTCGGTGAGAACATGCGGCTAACCAGCAGCTTCGCCTCAATATGTTTGTTGTCTTGAGTTTTTATAGTTATGTCAAGTGCAATCAACCAAAGTGTGTTTGGCAGGCTAGTTGGCTTATCATGCTGTGTTTGAAGAGCATGACTGAGTGCAGACAGAGAAGAACATACACTTCGTGTGTGTTCTTCTCTGTCCATGTTTTGTCATGCTTTTCAAACTCTTTGTCAAGTGGGACAGCTGTGCTGTTGCACACGTGTGAGTAGTGCCAGGATATATCATGGGAACCTTATGCTATCGTAACCCACCATAGTGGCCTCAGTGTTCCACTGGTAAACAAAGAGCATGTAGATTCAGTTTCCAGACATGGAGGCCACATTTTGAAGAGTTTGAAATGCAAAAGTGCTCATGCACAGTACTCTCAGGTTGAAGATGTGAAAATTTTGGCATTAGTAAAGCACATACTGTCATTTCCAGCATCTACAGTTCATGTATTGGCATGATTTTTACTTTAACACTCACATCAGAGCCAATGTTACCTTAGTGGTCAAATTTGCAATGATATGAAGCAGCTATTATGAGATATCGTTCGTAGTACTTCCTCATTACACTAAAAAAGACAATGAGGAGTACTGTTTTTTTATTTAGGTGCATCTTAAGAACCTCGGATGGTCTAAATTGCTCCGGGGCACCCCATCAAGGCATTTGGCATAATGATATTGTGATTTTGTTATGCAAAATGCCTTTATTTGGTGTGTTTTTTTTAACTGAGTCGTAAAGATCTAATGTGGTGTTGGGGGCTAGGTGGCGTTTGATGACACAGAAAAGGTTACAATTACAATTCAAAGTTGAAGAAAAAAATTTTCATCTACCTGTTTGCTATCAGTCATGGGCTGCAGGTGCAAATGTAATTGCTAGCTGTATTACTTTTAACTTTTATTCTCAGGTAACTACTGCAACTTTGTCTGCATGTTCTTCTACTTTTTGCCTTCCTCTCCCAGGTGGATGCCCTCAAGCATGCGAGCCTGCCAGTGCTGGGTCGCTTCATCTTCACGGAGGGCCTCGACATAACAGTCATGAGCCGTGCAGTGGCACCCCTGGGCGGTGGCCGCGTGCGCTTCCGTTCGCCCATCTGCCGCTCGCTGCGGCCCGTGCGCCTTCAAAACTCTGGCAAGGTGAAGCGAGTGCGCGGGTGGGCATTCACGGTGCGGGTGTCACCCACGGTGGCCAACCGCGTTGTGTCAGCCGCCAAAGGTGTCCTGCTGGGTTTCCTGCCGGATGTATACCTCTACACCGACCACACTGGAGGTGCCCAGGGTACAAGGTAGGCACACAGCTCTATCTTGTAGGCTTACAAGTGAGCTTTAAAAATACATAGTAGAGTTTGATGGTTGTATTAGTACTGGGTGTCAGCAACGTCATGTTCATATGTGGTGACAAAGATTGTAATTTTTGGGTATGCTAGGCTGCAAGTACTGTGGGTTAAGCAGCTGCTATGCTGTAAGCTTTCTTGCAATGCTGCAGTATTCAGAGTGCAGTGGTGAATGATTACTCTGCCATTGAATGTTTTTTTATTGATTTCACAAGTGCTATATATTTATAAGCAGACAGTTGGACTGCTGAGGTAAAGCATGAGCTGCAGTAATTAACTCGAAATGCTCGTAAGAAAGCCATATTGTATAGGTAAATATATACCATTGTTAAAGCTGAAATCTGTTACTACTTATGCATAGTATCTATAAATTTTTCGTTTAGTTGATTTTTCTTATTCCAGAGCCTTACAAGAATTTTTTTTTCAAGTATAAATTCCACAAATCATTACCATGCTTACACTGTGTGATATGTACGAATGAAAGTTCATGTAGACCAAGAGTGTCGGCCTGTTAAACAATCTCAGAAATTTTGTTGCATCAATTTACTGTGTTTGTTCAAAAAGAGGACACCGTGGGGTATGCGCAACTCGAAGCAAAAGGAGAATCGTAAAATGCAGTAGTGACTTATTATGCCTCTGCAGAACACTTTACAAACACTGCTAAGAGAAAGAACAGTGTTCATGGTCATCAAATGTGTACACCCGAAGGCAGAAATTTACAGAACCGTCAGTTGATTAGTGAAAAAGTTTGATTCCCACCTATTCTGGGAGCAAAGCCTTTGATTAAAAGTTTGAGCCTGTATTAGCTTTTTCGTGTGACACAGTCATTGCACAGATCAAAAGGGTTGTGAACCAACTGAGCAGGAATTTACCCATAATGTGCAGCCCATGTCCCCCATACTTTTGTTGCCAGGTAAAATTTACAATCTTTCAACTAATGCCGCTAGCATGGTTTATTAACCACACTTATTCTTCTTACCAGGTCCCCGGGCTTTGGCATCTGCCTGGTGGCTGAAACGACCCAGGGTGCCTTCCTCTGTGCGGAAGCCATGTCTAACCCAGCTGGAGTCGTGGAGAGCCCCAGTGTGCCCGAGGATGTCGGAGAGCAGGCAGCTCGTGCGTTGCTTCGTGAAATATATCGGGTGAGGACTCCATTTCGAGCCTTTCAGTGCGTCGTTTGCTCAGTGATACCTAATAAAGAGGCCTATTACAAACCGAAATTTTTTGCTGGTTGGCGTCATGTAATTCCCCATAATACTGTGTGGGCCTATGGTGACCTTTACATGTGACATAAAGCACTCCAGTGAAAACATTAGCCGTCCTAATGAAACCAATTTTCCGTGAATAAATGTTGTGATTGATCATCGTTCAGATCACAGTCAATACTGGTGAGCGGTTACTTTCTGTCACACTGAGCCTATGTAGCCCAGTGTATTCCTTATGTAGCATTTCCAGTACCTCTCATGTATGGCCCCGTTTTTAAATCTCTATTGTAAGGCTGAACAGACAGTTGTAAATGCTATTAATCTTGCCCACACTTTTATTCTCTCACAGAGTCGCAAACTCAAGCAAACGCTGATTCTTGACTGTTACTTGTTCTTAGTGCTAGCAGTCCCATACATTGGTTTGAACGAAAGTGACCGATCCTTGGTGATATAGTGCAACTTGCAATGATAACCATAGCGCAGGTCCGTGTGTTGTAGGGTTGCTTATAATAAGCCTCACTAGCATTGGAGTCATGTTATGTTTTTCGTTCATTTAAGCTTGCCATAACAGCACAGAACCGCATCGTTATATTAATTATAAAGTACTAAATCTTTATTGCATGCCAACTCTCTTTCCTAGCTGAAGGTGATAAGGTCGACAAACGGCTGCCTTTCTTTCTGATCTTGGAAAAGATGGGTAGATCCATGTGCATTCAGTTCCTAGTGGGCAAAGTGCTTGTTGATGTGACGACATATAGGCATGAAAATGACTTTTAGTGTTGTAACTGTTGCCATAACTTCTTTTGACGTTGCAGGGCGGTTGTGTTGATTCATCTAATCAAGGTCTGGCAGCCTTGTGCATGTGTCTTGGTCCCCCCGATGTCTCCAAGTGCATTGTGGGACCACTTACACCTTACACGTAAGTGGGATAAGGATGTGTGAGCAATTAGTCACAGTGTTGAGCATTTGTATGAAGAATAAAAAAATTCTAAAAAGCTATTGCATGATGCACAAGTGTCGAGTGATAAGACCATGTGAAGTAACCGGACCTATATTTGTTTCGGCATTGTTTGCCTGGAATGACTTGCCAACTTTGCAAGAACTGAGGAAGCCCATGAAGACAAGGAATCACCTGATTGTTGAGTTGCTTGCGAAGCATCATCCTGCAAGCATCACTAAAGATACGGGGAGCTCATTGGCTTCCGCTGCTCATTCTAGAGCTGTCATTGTGAGCATGTGTTTAATGCACTTAGCACTTGTGAACGCACAAAAGGTGGTGGTTGTACAGTTACAGGTTGTTAATTTGAGTTTTGCAGGATTGAAAAAATTTACCAAAATAACTGAATGCTAAATTATCAAAAGTACAGTAGACTCCTTTAAACAAAACCTGAAAAGACCAAGAAAATTGGTTTCACTTAAGAGGAGTTTCACTTACTGAGAGATAAACAGGGGTGAAATAACTCAAGTACCAAACCATTTATGTTAGAGGCAGTTGTTCCATTTAAGCAGCATTTTGTTTAAGAGAGTTTTGTTTAATGGGAGTCTACTGTATAATGAAAAATGTTAGTGAGTATCTGTTCCATTACTGCATGTTTTTTTACTTGATGAATATGCAATATCAGCATCTAATGCTACATAAACATGACTGGCTCGCTAATGCACATTCCTGGATGGCAATTATGTGGTTCTGAAGGCAGGTGGTGAAAACGAAACTACTGCTTGTCACAGCGTTTACTGTAGTCACTATCGACGTAATCACAGACAGAGCCTATGCATTTCGTGTGTGGGGAGTAAGATCGACAATAAAAAAAATTTGCTGCAGCCGCAGATTCCTTGGCTGTCAGTGTGATTGTCCTGGCCATGGTGGCTGCATTTTCGATTCAGATGAAAATGCTTGAAGCCTGTGTGCTTAGATTTAGGTCACGTTAAAGAGCCCCAGGTTCTTGCAATTTCGAGAGCGCTCTACTACGAAATCCTAATAATCATCTCATGGTTCTGGGTCATTACACCCCAATAATTATTACTATTATTAATAACATGATTATGGTAAAACTATTGATTGCTAGTAGATGTTTGATTGTTCACGAACAGCATTTTCACTCCTCTGTGTCGCACATTTGTGGTGCTTCGTGCTAACCGCGGTTCAAGAATGGTCCAAATTAACGGTGTTGCGACCAAATATGACAATTAAGGACAGTTTGACGTGAATATAAACAATACATATTGGGACCAGAGAACACATTCAAACTATATTATTTTCATAACTGAGGGGTCAAATTAACCAGCTTTTACTGTACATATTGTTCATGTAAGGCACATATTCAAATAGATGTTATTAAGGTGACATGTATTAACAAAAACTTATAGTTATGAGAGTAAATAAGTTGGGACTGTTTCTCTCATTCATTAAGGTAAACATATGCAGTATTTAATGCCATTACATTCTCATTAGTTTGCAGGTAGTTAGTCGCACGCTGCTTAAATTAAATGTTCCATAGCGTGTGCTAAGACAGCATGCCACAAGTGTGCAGCACATCATGCATTTCAGTGCTCTTTGGCAGTGAGTTGTTTTTGTTTGCACTTTCATGGTTCTGGGTCATTACTCAACTTTATTTCCCAATCACTACAGTTGAATGACTCAACTTTATCTCCCAATTACTACAGTTGAATGAAACACTACCATTGACAGTTCTCTGGTTTCATGAATATTTTTTCAGGATACAGATGCTACGTCACCTCCGAGATTTCTTTGGTGTGACCTTCAAGGTGGAAGGTGACTGCCCAGGAGAGGGGGCACCCAAGGTCCAGCTCACATGCGTAGGAGTTGGATTCAGCAATCTGGCAAAGACGACATCTTAGCATCGTCACTACAGTGTCATCTTTCTGCCCTTATCGATCCTGTAACTTTGTTTTATTGAAACATTACTTGTAAATAAAAATTGTTCCATCTACTCTGCATGGTCTCGTTTCATTGATGTTTGTTGTAATTTAAGAAAGGCAGCTTGACTAATAAAAGTATATCCCGCCCAGCAGTGCTGAATATGATTTTCAACAGAAGATTTGTTGAGTACTGGATGAGCCTTTAAATGTATTTGCAGTGCAAAATAATTTAAAGATAATCAAGAAACGCAAAAGGTACTGACAAATGAGAATTCTTTTTATAAATCGTGCGGCAAGACATGACAAAAGGACAAATGAAGAACCGAACGAGTGCCAACTTGCAAGTGGGCTTATTGGGCTCCTGACTCTTCCTTTCCTTGTGTTCATTGGCTGTGTGTATAGAGTCATTCATTAGTGGGAATCGATTTTAGCCGCAGTGCTCGCTCACAACTTATTAGTACTATAAGGTTAGCCGTCACCGGTACCCAGCTTTAAGGAACTAGGGACAGTGAACAAACATGTTATGCTTTGCACTAGCATTAAAACGATGCTGTGCCCGTCAGTAATGAAGCACTTTAGTCCTACGATCACTGGCAGGTGCCCACACTGGTGACGTGGCTGACGCCTATTCATAGTATGGGCCTGCCAAGAAAATTTAGTGCTCATCGCCTCCTCAATCCCTATTACAGATGACTGAGAGGTGGACCTGCTGGGTTGCTGAGGCCTTCAAGCCCTAGAGGCTTTGGTGGTAGTTTCGACCAGTGGGGTCCCGGAGTAGGGAATCTAACCAGTATGTAGGGTACCTGCGCGGGTTCACCTCTCTCGTTTGATAAATGTTTTAGATGCGAAGCAGCTATTCGACTAACCTGTGTAATGCTGTCCCTTCGTCTGCACTGCGCTTCCCTGGCCGCAGATGTTGGGGTGGTGCCAAGTAGGTCACACCTTCCCTCACAGTGCGCGGGCGTTGACGTCACTCTCTCCATAGCCTGTCGCCGCGTGTGACACCCGCAAAACTGTTCCCCTCTCTCGCCTCGCAAGGCTGTCTGCCAGTAAAAAAAAAAAAAAACAACTGCTCGCTTTGCACAACCGTTCACTGGTTACCCCGTATATGTAGGCACTGGATCGCGCATTCGGAATTCAGTCAAGGGCGTGTTTACTTGGCTTTCGCTTTACGAGCGCCAGTTTCAACGTCACCGCCAGTGTAAGCGTTAGCGCCCGCTGCTTCGCACCTACACATGATTCCCTTAAGCGGGGATGGTCAAATTTTTTTTCAGTGGAGTGCAGTAAGTAGCATTTGTACGAAGTACCATCACCTCACTGGCACCTCCCCCCCCCCCCCTCTCACGTTGGTTGAGTCCGAAAGAAAACTAGGTTCGCAGCGGATGAAAAGAAGGCATTGAGTTCGGGGGCTCATGTCGCTTGACTAGATACCCATATAGCTTTACATACGAGATAGAAGATACTCAGGGTGAATTCGATCAGAATTCTCTGACTGTTGCTCGATTCCAGGCGCTGTAATGCCCAAACAATCGCACATCTCACCTCTAAGGTTGAGAACATTCTCAGAATAATCGAAATAGTCTCCAATAGAAAAGGGGGGCTAGGCGAGGACAACCTACTAGGGCACACTACCCATTTCTCACGAGCCACATAAACTATATGGTATAAGCCTTACAGTGGACTAAAACCGAAAAGGACAAGCTCGATACGCTGATGCGGAAAAGTGTCAAAAGGGCACTGGGCATTTTCATCACGACAAACACAGACAGACTGATGAAACTTGGTGGTCACAATACAACCCTAGAACTAATAGAAGAGCAGTGTTCGGCACAGACCACAAGGCTCTCGGAATCTAAAGCAGGTTGGCGCCTTTTGGAGGCGGTGGGCTTGCGTCCACGTCAAGATAGCGCTGTTCAGCTGGATGAGAAATCGAAAGGGACCTACGCCGTTTGTCCCTTTTGCTGAAAGTCAAGCGGCGTTAAGTCTCATATTTCACCCCTTTCCGGGGCGTGTACCATTGCATGTATTGGCAGATGAGATCGTGAGCACCTGCAGTGCATGCATTGCTCTTGCTGCTCGAAATTCTCAAAGCTGGTGTACGGCCCTTAATATGTTCTTAGACGGAGGAGAAATGGACTCTGTGCGGTTAGACCAAGTTAATCAATACGAGGCGAAAAAAAAAAGAAAAGAAAAAAAGCCGTTGTGGCATATTAGTGGTCTAGCTATTCACTCCTGTGTTGTTCTTGCATGTCCCGAAACGAAAGACACAAAAGCATGTTTATTCGATGGTGGAGACTTAACTAGCCATGCTGGGTTTGAAAAGGAGACACCATATTCTGCAAACCCCGCGGCAAAAAAAAAAAAAAAAGCATGGATATGCTAAACCATTGGAGCTTTTGTGCCATCATATACTAAAAACTTTTCAGAGTTCAGTTTAAATTGAAGACAATGCAGGGAGCGATGGAAAGGAAAATGATAGGTGTAACCTTAAGACACAAGAAGAGAGCTGAGTGGGTCATGGAACAAACCGGGGTTAAGCATACAACAACAACAACAACAACAACAACAACAACAACAACAACAACAACAACAACAACAACAACAACAACAACAACAACAACAACAACAACAACACAACAACAACAACAACAACAACAACAACAACAACAACAACAACAACAACAACAGCAACAACAACAACAACAACAACAACAACAATAATAATAATAATAATAATAATAATAATAATAATAATAATAGAATGTTTATTTCTCATCAAAACATTTTATGAAGGACAGCTGCAGGTAAACGCTGCTATCCGAAAGAGGTAGCTTTCACAGATATCATAGTTGAAATGAAGAAGAAGAAATGGACATGGGCCGGGCATGTAGCACGTAGGTATGATAATCGCTGGTCATTAAGGATAACTGACTGAATTCCCAGAGAAGACAAGCAGGTTAGGGGGAGACAGAAAGTTAGGTGGGCAGGTGAAAATACGAAGTTTGCGGATGTAAAGTGGCAGCAGCAAGCACAGGACTGAGTTGACTGGTGGAATATGGGAGAGGCGTTTGTCCTGCAGTGAACGCAGTCAGGCTGATGATGATGATGATGATGATGTTGATGACGTAATACACACAACACTGGTATACACAAAAACACACTGTATACATGTTGATTGTTTAGTCGATCAGCGTTATGCTGGTGTTGTAATATTAAGATTAGCAACCAGGTCAACAGCAGCTTTACACTTGAGAGCCGATAGAGTGGTTTCAGTACAGCTTTACGGATGTGCCAATAAATTGTTTCTCTGAAATAAACTCGGCAGGGAGGCAGCGCATCCTTGTGAAATTGATAGCCTGCCATTGTCAATCTCCACAAAGAGTGAAGGCCCAGAAGCATAATTGCGTTAAAAGGTACCCCGAATTGATTATCGACATTCAAGAAGTGCATGCCGTACGGTTAAAAAGTGATTCCTTTAGGGGCGAAGCACCTTAGGGCCGTGGATTGTCCATGTCCGTCACGGGAGATGCTTGTATGCGAGACACAAGAAAAGGTTTAACAATAGGCTAACATCAATCATAATTGTGGCAGAACAATATAAAACACTTATAAGCCCAAACCCTTTATACTAGTCGGTGACTTCAACGTGGACATTATGGATTTTAGGACGTAGCTCTACCCACTCATCGTCAGTCACTTCGTGAAGATGCACGGATGTTTCCTGATGGTTCCCTTAGAAAAATCTAAAAAAAATCACCCTCTCTCAACAATGCAAAAAAGGAAAAGAAAAAAAAAGCGATCTGTTGTTTTTAGCAGTTTACAAATACAACAATGGGTGCTCTAAAGCAAAAATCACCTTTTTCTTTTTTTTGAAGGAATGTTCTGACTGGCAACGTGTCCGTATGAATTGTAAAAAAAAAGAAGTTTTTGCAGCCGGCTGCACACGCATTTTTTTAACTTCATTAAGACATTGCTGCCTGGACCTCCATTGTACAATGACCTGTACCACAGTACTGGGCATACAATGACACATAACGAAAATTAATGTTCTTTTTGTTTAACAGCAGCGAGGTACACTCTAGAAAATCATCGTACAGTAAGAAGTCGTGCACTAGCCACTATTTATATATATATAAAACACGCTAATCTCTCCCACACAATTTTCGGTCGGGGAAATATATTCGCTTGCAATGGGCCCAAGTTAGTGCCCAGGAAGAAATCTGTGACGTCTATAAAAAACGAAAAAATCGGTTACCAAGCTGCTATCCAAACAGGTGACACAGTCTTAGCCCCCTGTCCTTTACCATCGAAACGAGTTGGTACGGCTGCAGCGTACTAGGACAAAGCCATGTCCATCCTCGAGACTAATTTGAAGAAAAAAATGGCCCCGTATCTGCCTGTTATCTGCGAATGTCGTCGAAAGACGATAGCCTTGCGTGTGGAGAGAGTGAACAAAACATTTATTTGATGTTCTGCGCAAGAAGTTCGGTGGCTGGTATTCTGGAGGCGCTGCGTTAGAGTGCCGCGAGCGTGCAGCGGAGGCGAACGAGCGCGTCAAGTCAGGTCACACGTGAGACATGAGCGCCATCTGGCAGTTTTTTTTTTTCTGAAAACAAAGCGCATGGCTCTGAGACGAGTGTGCGCGCCCGTCTCAGAGGTGATATGGAGTAGAACGGAAGGCGACGGGTAGGTGCCCCCAACGTGTCGTCTTAGCAAAGCGTTGGAAAGACTTGCCTTTTCGTGCAAGCGTTGCATGGTCAGCGCAGCGTGATGAACGCTACGGTTCTTAGAATTACTTATGTATGCCTTTTCTAGTAAAAGATGCACATACAGAATATATGCGTGTTGTTATGGTGCCTCAGATATGCGCCGTCACATTTTGATAGAGGTGAATTGCTAGAGGCTCTTAACACAGTGCGATGTTAGGGTCCGTTAAAGAACACCAGATGGCCGAAACAACAAGAGCACTGCATAACGGCGTCCCTCGTAATCGTATGGTGATTTTGGGAAGTCGAATTCCAGATATTAAATAAAATTAGTTGAAAAAGATGTCAAGTGCGCACCGAATGGGCGTCT